AAGGGGAGTCCAAGATACTTATCATCTGCAATGACCTTGGAGATATTCAAAGTTTGCATCACCCCCTGCTGCACAGCATTGGAAGTATTACTGCTGAAAAAAATAGATGACTTGTCCAGATTAATTTGTTGCCCAGAAACCCCCTCATATTCCTTTAAGATTTCCAACAGCTTTGCAGCTTCTTGAACAGACGCTTCTCCAAACAACAAACTGTCATCTGCAAAAAACAAATGTGATAGACAAGGGCATCCTTGGCACAAAGTCAATCCCTTTAAATCCCCTCTACTGATAGCCCTTGATAATAGAGCTGATAAACCTTCAGCACATAAGAGAAAAAGGAAAGGGGAAAGGGGATCTCCTTGCCTTATACCCTGCTTGGAGTGAATTTCTTTATTGGATACCCATTGATCAAGACGGAGTATTCCACAGTGCGAACACACATCAGGACACGGTTAATCCACCGCTCAGGAAAACCCATTGCTCGCATAGTGTCCTCTAAGAAATTCCATTCTACTCTATCGAAGGCCTTGCTAAGATCAAGTTTGACAACCATATGCCCTCTCCGGCCAACCCTTTTATTTTTCAGATGATGGATAGCTTCAAAGGCTACCATAATGTTGTCATAAATTAATCCGAGTGACATCTTATCATTTTTAATATCAAGTCATCTTAATTCTCTATTATTCTTTTTTTTTTTTAACAAATTTGCAAGGGACCGGATTCAAACCGTTGTCATGGGGATGGGAGAATGCACTTATACGTGACCTGACGCCACTGGATTCGAAGGCCCAAGTGCTAATTGTTTACTTTTCTTAATTATTAATATTATCGAATATCAATTATCAAGTTAAATGAAATGAATAATAGTTAATTTCGATCTATTATATCATATCAAATAGCACAAGAGAATAGACTAGATGAAGAATTACACTAACATTTTTGGGGGGCAAAAAGGTAAAAGCAAGAAGAGGGCACATGGAAAGCCTAGAAAGAATGAATGACATTAAGTCCTCCAGAATCAGCGCCCGGAAACAAATGCCGATGCCATGCTCCTCCCACATTGTTATCTCCGCTCCTTCTAGTTGGATGCCTCTTTTTGCATGACAAGCAAGGTAACCAAAACCTTACATTATTATATATACCAAAAACAATACAACAACGGAAAGACAGACATCCATTTCCTTCAACTAATCATCTCTCTACTTTCTTTAATTTCTTCATTTTTTTCCATCGGATCATGGCTGGGGGAGGGCATTATAAGGGGAGTAGTGGTGGCAATGGCGGTGGCAGAGGGAGGCCGTCTGCGGTGATACTGCTACTGGCGTTTGGGGCGGCGCTGGTGGGGGTGATGGTGGTGCACAAGCTCAGGGAGAGGCGCATCTTCAATCTCCTAGTCCAAGAGAAGGACCGTGACCTCCTCTCCCTTCAGCTTCTCTTTCAGGTTTGCTCTCTCTATCTCTTTCTCTCCTGCGTGTTTGATAGTACGTGGCATTCTATGCGCTTGACAAATCAGACTATTCATTCAATTCATTACTCTCTCTCTCTTTCGTATTTTTTTAATCTCAGAAATAATAAAAGCTCTAAATGTATCAGTTTTTTTCAAAGATGAAAACGTTGCATTTCGTGGGTGGGGGAAACTCTTTGATTTTATTGTCATAAAAACACAATTTTGTTGTCTCTTTTCTTGTTTCCTTCTTTTGCTGGAAAGCAGAGTTATTAAGAAGATAAAGCATGGGGCATTCGCGCTTCTCTCTAGTTTCATCGCGTGCTTGGATTGAGAAAAATGAGAAGAAAAAAAAAGTTGATATTTCGAAAATTATTTTCTCTCATTTCATTCAATCCAAATACGAAATTGATAACTTACAAATGTATCCAAAGTTTGATGATTGAAGATTGTTCATTAATCCTTCATTTTGTTTTATTATTTTTAATATTGTACATATTTGAATTAATCATGATAATCTCAAATTAGAATTTAAGAAGAGTTTTTGAATTGAAGATAAAAACTCAACGAATCTTTTATAAGTGAATTTTTCTTTTGATAATGAATGAAGGGAGAGTGAGAAATGAAATTAATCTTTGGGACCTTCTACCTTAAGGAACTTAATTATTTATATTAATAATGAAATTATTCTTTTGAAATTTTACAAGACAACTTAGAGAAGCTAAGACAGTTATGCATTTTGACATTTTTAACATTAAGTAAGATGCAAGTCTTGCCATGTGATCTCATTCATGCGATACTGCCGGGACTTATCTCTCAAGTTACATCGCTGGAATCGAATCATTACATCTAATCAGGATGAAATAATCAAATCCATATTCATTAAGTTTAAACACATCAGTGATATGTACATTAGCAATTTTCATTCAACATTCTTTTTGGTCCAGATATAGTGGTTTCCCTATCTTATACTTAGCACTAGATTTAAGATTTTAATATGAGACGTTCAACTTGGTCTTTTGTATGGCATGTTCATTAGATTCTGTGGTAATCTCTTTGAAATAAGAAATTCCAAAGCAATAAGTCTTAAGATGTGTGTTTAATTAATGCCAATAAGGTTTCTAAATATTGTGTGTATTCTTTTGACCTGCAGAAGGAAAGAGAACACAACAGTGAAATGAAGAGGAAGGCTGAAGAGATGAAAGCAAAGATGTACTCACTACGGACCCAGAAAATGGAGCTTGATCGGAGGCTCTTGGAGATGCAATCTACCATTGATTCTCTAAAAGATGAACAGAAGATGATGGAATCGACATTGGAGGAGAAACAGAACGAGATCAGAATGTTAAGAGAGGAAACTACAGATTCAGGACATGAGAATCTTCAGGTGATGACTTTCATGGAAAGTTTGAAGCAAAAAGAGTCTGAAATAGAGGATTTGAAGCACCGGCTTGAACTCCCAGCTAGGGTTTGGTCTGTAAGTACTGATGATCCATCAAAGCCACTGGTAAATTTGACATCTACAAGAAGTTTAAATCAGAAGGAAGACACCAGAGATTACGCGAGAGGAAGGGAGGGAAACCAAGAGCATGAATCCACTAGTTCCACAGATGGCTTAAATACAATGAAAGGTGAAGATGCAAAAGAGAGTAAATCTACTGATTTTAGGGAGAAAGAGAGTGAAGAAAGGGCTGCAGATGGGGCTGAGGGAAAGATTGGAACTACGGCCGCAATTTATATAACTGGAAGGGACACGCAGAAGCCAGAAATTTTGCAAGAAGATTCTAGAAATGGCAGTGTCAGTGGGGAAGTAAACAAAGAAGCTTCTCAATATACAGTTACTTCAGGCTCCCAAGGTGCAGAAGAGATAAGTTCAGACGTCTCTAAGGTAATAATCAACAGAGGTAGGCAAGAACAACAAACCATTTTGACAAGAGAGCCGAGAAAACTCGAGGATCTCCAAGGAGATCAAAATAAGGAACTTCAAGCAACCACCGAGGGGGTAATGAAGTTGGAAATTCAGGATGACTTAAGAAGTGGAACAGGTTCAAGGTCAAAGGGGAAACACGGCCATTTAAGCAGATCAAAGGGGAAGAAATGGAGAATGCTCACCAGAAATAGGTTGTTAGAGAAGAATTTAAACTCTGAAATTGATGGAGTAGTGAGAAGGAGAAGAGATAGAGCAAGAAGCAGGGAAGAGGGAAAAACTTCTAGCGAGGGAAAGATAGAAGGAGAGGAAGGGGAAAGAGATGAAAATACCTCACTTGTGAAGAACGAAATGGATTCTGCAGATGACAAGTTGCTCAAGGGTGTTGCCAAGGAGAATGCTGTAGAAGTAAAAATTGCCAGCAACGATGAAATGCAAGAAAAAAATAAAGTTGCTGATAAAGAAGAGATAGATGCCGCTAATGCAGATTCAACCACGGACATGGAAGACAATAAGGACGAGTACAAGGACGAAAGGGAGGAGTCTGAATTTTAATGGATCAACAAAATGTCAAGTCATTCTATGCTTGATGTAGAACTTCTAATTTTCTAAATCCCAGCGAGACTGTTAAAAGAATCATTAGTTGTATTCTCTTAGCATAATTATAACTGAATCAGCAAGTAGTCAATAACAGCACCTCCCTGGATATCAAATTAAGCAACGAACAGATAGAAAGAAAGGGGAAATTATGTTTTTCTCAATCAATTGGATCTCCAGAAGCAATCACCGAGGAACATAAACCTACAGATGCTCTTTTGTTCTCACAAGTTTATATCTAAACGCCCCTAACCTTCAGCTGTTTCTCCAAGGAGATTATCATCCCTCTCTAAGCAAGATTCTATAAACACTATCCATCAAACAACGACCTAACATCAGAAAGCTCAGCTGAAAATAATCCAGCTTCCTACTGTTTCTGGTCCATGAAAAAATTCATATTCCTGTTAAGTTGAGGCAAGTTAACAGAACGGATTTATCAGCCCTTGCTACAAGACATCATTTCTTTTTGTGTACCATTTGCATTATCCCAAATATTTTATGTCCCAACATGGTCTAAACAAGCAGGTATACAAATTGTAGGATGCTTATCATTTTAAACTTATTGAGGATCTCCTCGACGAACATGGTTTGAGTCAGGTCAATGCAAAAGAGCTCTCAACAAGTATTGGATGTCAAAAAATGATAGCATCCATTATTAGATTATATAGAAAATGTTAAGAAAATCTTGAAAGGGCAAGTCTATAAAAGAAGCAGTTTTTCACCATAGCAGAGTGTAGTTCATCATTCAGTAAAAATAGGAAACTGTAAACTGGAAAGCAGAATCACCTGCTAATTAAGAAAAAGAGATCTCAATACATGAAAGCTCCAGCCATTCCACATTATTGCCATGGATATTCAGAGAAAATACAATTTTAAAGTCTCAATGCACTGCTTCCACAGGCTTCTGCAAGCAAATTAGAGTAAAATGACTTAATAAAGTGCAATAATGTCATTGAATTTAAACTATAATCAAAGGTTCAGTCTGATTCATTTTTATATTGCATAATCAGGCATTCCATCCTGCTCATCATTACCATCTTATTAGATACTTAGTGAATTGGGATCATCCAACTAGACAATGAACCATACAAAAGAACTGTGATTTTGTGGATAAACTGCACTTGAGATCCAGAGTAGGAGAATAGACTTTAGGCATAATGAATGATAAACACTCAAAGGCCATTTACAGCATTGCTCATATAATATTCTAACAATACTAGTTTACAAAGTTGAGCATGGTTCTATATTCACCCCAAAGGTGATTTGGGTTGTGTGGTTGATCAATTGAATGAGAAACCATTTCAAATTGGCACAACTTTAAACATTTTATTCTTTAAGAGTATTAAAGAAAAGAGAAATATTAACAGAAAACGGGTATATTTAACACAAAAACTACAACATTTACCATAAAAATAAGTGGCAGATGAGAAAATAAAAGAAGGGTATAATTGTTTTCATGTCCAAACAGATATTGCATGAATTTAATCATCTTGTGATAAAGGAAGGGGATCCTTCAAGACAATTACAAGCAAAGTTGGAGTAAGTACCTCTTCCTTCTTGGCTTTGCCTCCCGTAAAGAAATTGTATCCCCCATAGATAAGTAGACCCCAGCCAGATAATGATACAATGACAAACTGCAACACACCAAAAAAATCAATCAATGTAGTTCCAAGACACATGCCCTTTCTAGTTTCTTTTATATTTGTTTTCTCAAGAGTATATTTATAAAGATAATACAACAATCGGAGCACATACGAAAAGAAGAACAAAACAAAAGAAGTAAAGAATCCATTTGATGCCCAAAACAAGAAATTTCCCCTTTAACACCCTAAAGGACCTTCAACTTGAGCAAAAAACTTGAAATCTGCATTAACAAGAACTACTCCTCCAAGCCTCAATGAAGTGGGCTGAATAGATTTAATCAGGGAAAAGGTATAAGCAAGGTATACAAAAGCTAACCAAAAATCTCATAGAATGCTAAACAACAGACTGAACTGCAGACAAACATCCATTTGACAAAAAGAACCAGTAGCACACAACTTAGACTGGCATTATTGTGTATAATTACAGAAAAGTAAAAAACAAACCATGCCAACATTATGAAAAATGAATTCACATGTTTTGGAATATAAAGTTAAATAAATAAATAAAACTCACATGTTCTTCTTTCCACTGAGCTGGGTTCATTGGGGCTTGCCAACAGTTAACCTTTGGAGGGCCGTGGTGATCTGCAGAAAACAGGAAGATGCGGTAAACATGTATCATGAACGAAGATTGAGACCCACCGTGCACAACTTTTATTAGTTGACAATTTGTAGGTACAACAACACTAACAACTCACATGGAATGATCCAACAAAAAGGTAAAAAAGATTACAAATAGAACAGAATTCTAGGGGAAAATTTTCGTCTTCATCAGGAAGATCAATATGTCCTTTCAAAAGCAAAACAGAAAAAAATTAAAGATTCAGAATTGATAGGCAGAACTCCTTTACTGCAAATTTCGAGGCTATCAAATCAAATCCATAGGCAAGTACACTTTTGTATATATCTCCATCTCTCCGTTTTTATTTTTCAAAATTAACACTAGAAAAGCATCAAGCCATCAAGAGATTATATAACTACATGGGTCTCAATTGGGTAGATTTCCACCAACCACCATCCATGAACTCGACACTAGACTACACCTAGTGAAGTTCATTGTTATGAATAGGAGGAATGTATGGTCGCTAACACTTCTGATTGTTAGAAGCCCGACATTTAAACAATGATCTTCTCCCATGAACTTCATAAAAAAAAAATAAAAAAAAAATTACCAGAATTTTTTCAGCAATTTTTCATGTTGAATTAAACTTGGCATTTCAACATTTTAAGATCAAATCTGTCATTTTTTAAATCAAGAATTCAACTTTTTATCTACATACTGCTCAGGAACGAACAAAGCCTAAAACACAATGGAAACAAAGAGTAAAACAACGGTGCTGAGGCTGATCTAGGGTAAACGAGATCAAAATTTGTGAAAATTTTGAGACAAATTTTAAATAAATTAACCAATGTAAACATAAATCTAGAAGAAAAAATGCCGCTTCCAATGCATATAAAAGAAAATTACCTGCAGCGCCTGCAAGACCACGGCGAGGAATAAGAGAGGCGGCATGGCCTGGATTTGTTGTTCGAGCTATAGTCGAAACTTTACGAGCTGCAGCTGCCGCCAAAGTTGCCATTGGGTAACTATCTCTTGTCCTAGATTTTCTAGGGTTTCTTCTAACTTCTAAGAAACACACGAAGAGGACGAGGAGGAAGATGGAGGAGCCCGTCGGCTAAAGAAATTAACTGCCTTTATTGGAAGATGAATGTGAGGCAAACGACACCGTATTCAGGGTTGGTTGATTACACCAAGACGGTTGGTTGATTGCACCAAGATGGTCAACGTATTTGGGCAATTGTGGGTTCTGGACCTTCTGGTGTTTGTTTGCTGTGCAAATTACGTTAAGCTCTAAAACACCAAGCATGGGAGGTTTTTTCTAAACATCAAGGCCCAGTTAGTGTTTTGGATTACAAAATATCTTTCTTCTTGGTTAATAGAAACCCACTTACTTTTATTGTATATTTGGATTAAGTGAAAGGAAAGACGGGCAAGAAAAACAAAATTTTTATCTATTTAGTTATAAAAAAAAATTGAAATGGAGGGAAAGAATTTTTTTTTCTCTTAATTTATTAATTTATCCAGATAAAAGAAAGAGAAGGGGAAGAGAATGGAAGGATAAAATTTCCTTTTTCTCCTTTCCCTCCTTTTCTTTTCCTCTCCAATCCTTTCAATCTAGATATATAATTAGTCTTACGTTTAACCCTTTTTTTTTTTTGGCCAAGATGTATCAATTAATTTGAAGATACAAGATTTTTTATTTTAGATTGCACTTATGTGAATTTATTTACATATAAATTTTATATATTATATTTATACAAAATCTCAATTATTTATCTTTCAACTTTAAATGATTGAGATTTATTATCATTTTTTAAATAAAAATATAATTATTTTTAATAAATATGATAAAAAATAAATAAACCTCAACTATTAAAAATAAAAAGATAAATAGTGAGATTTTGTATAAGTATAATATATAAAATTTATATCACTACTTAATAAAAAATTGAGAGAATACTCAAATCCACCACCAAAATATAATGACAGAGATAGATCCACCCCTAAACAAAAAAGGGGATGAATCCATTTATAAAGTTTTTGATTTGACAAATCACTTCAAATTTAAAGTGTGACGTCAGTAATCCATTAATAATAAATTTATTAGTGACATAACAAATTAATGAATTAATAATATCAGATGACGTCACACGTTAAATTTGAAGTGATTTATCTAAATCAAAAACTTTATAAATGAATTTATCTTTCGAATTAGACTCGTCTCTACTATTATATTTTGAGAGTAGATTTAGATATTATGCCAAAAAAAAATAATCCTATTTCATTTCTTAAACTCATATTGATTCCATGCATTCAAGCGACGTGAAAAATATATATATATATGTGTATGTATGTATGTATGTGTAACTTTTTTACTAATACTGAACACTTGTGATCAACCAAATGAACGTGGGAATGGTAGAAAGAGCAATGGTAGGGCACTCGCTTTTCGCACTATCCGGTCAACACTTTCTCTTTTATTGGGCACGTTATCTTGGTTCCCGAGAAGTTGTGCCTGAAAGCTTTTAAAGAAGCTTACGTGGCCCAATGAAAGGGGAAGTGTTGGCGAGTGCGAAAAGCGAGTGCCCCTAGCGTTGCTCATGGTAGAAAATAGAAGAGATGATTTATTTCCCCCACATGGCGACTTCAATGCTACTCCATGGAATAATACTGGAAATGCCTTGACTTGGTCCATGGTTTCCTCCTGCTGACAACAAGAACATCAATCCCCCTTTCACCACTGAAAGTGTTGATGAATTGACCTTCATTGTTCCTACCGTTCTGCATGTTTGCCCTCTGCCGGCATCTCAAACAGCAAAACCCCCTAATTCACTTCTTAAATAAAAAGCACAGGATAGTTTCACCTCTTAAAAAAATTATAAAAATAAATTATTTTTTAAAATTATTTATTAAGATAAATTATTTATTTTTTAACATGTAACGTCATCACAAATTATTTTTTTGTTAAAAACTATTTAAGCGACAAATAGATTTTTAATGTGTGATGACATCATACATTAAATAATAAATAATTTATTTTCATTAATCACTTAAAAAAAAACAATTTGTTCTTTTTTTTTTTTAAGAGACGAATTTAACCAATCTTTCTATTTGACGGTTGAATTTGGGTGTTCTGCCAATCACAAACACATCATATTGACCAGGAAAAGATTAAACAAACTAAACATGAAAAGACTAGATAAACAATGATTAAACTAGCTGCGATTTAAGGACATGATAAACATCTTCATTCATTTCCACCAGAAAAGAAAAGAAAAAAAAAAAGATCATCTAGTTCAATGTCAAAATTTTCTTCCCTGAATGTAATTAAAAGAACATAATCAGATTTACATCACACATCTCTTTTCCTTACATCCTAAAGAATTCCTACAGAAATATGTATTTAATGGTGTGACTGTACCCCTAAATCATGACCAAACTGGAATGAGAAAGAAAGAAATCATGAAAAATTATTTATTCTACTGTTGTTCTAGCAGTTGTCTTTGCCTCAAATTCAGTTGCATAACTTCACACCTTAAGCTCCTTTCCTCAATCTGCAATGATAAAGATACATTAATCAGAAGAAAATCATGTTGAAATGATCTATATATTGATCGGTTTTCACCAAATGGCGTCAATCATCAGACGTTCTGCTAAGCATTCGCTGACTGGTAATATTAGAGCTTATGGACTTTTTTGAGTTTTACCTCTAGGATAGAAATGGACCTGAAAAGTTCAAGGCACTCCTCTAATAGCAGCTTCTCTTGTGTAGCCACCCTTGCTAATTCCGAGAGAAATGATGCGTTGTTCTCAATCTGTTCATAGGACAGGTTTGATAAGTTCATTGCATAACCACAAATCAACAGTTTTCCTTTAGCTTAACTTGAGAAGATCATCATACCAAACGTGAAAAAGCAGCTAGCTCTGACTTTATGGAACCTGTGAATTCTAATGCATGTCTGAGCACTATGGAAGCTGATTGCATGTCGATCTACAGGTTAACTTTTTGTCAACAATAATTTTTATATGGTTAATCAATGACTGATTAATGAAGGATTCCTCTTTTCTGGTTACCTTTGCGCCATCACTGAGGGGTACTCTGCAGACAACATTATGCAAGCACTCTTTGGTCCTAGAAATTGCTGTTAGGTGTTGCCTCTCCATCTCTGCCCAGGCTTCCAATGGCTTGATCTGAAAATATGATCATTCAATCAATTTTAACAACTAACTAAACCTAAACATTACATTATCTAAGTGAAGAAATTTCAAAGTTGATCACCGACCTGAGATTGAAGTATAAGGTCCAGCTTCATCTCAAGGTTTTCCTTCTGAAGTTGTAGTTTCTTATATAGCACTGAATGTTGTAATATCACAAGACTACTCCAAGCACATAACAAATTGCTCTGCAAAATAACCAACGGATTAGCGTCCTCATTCATATTTTCCAAAATCAGCTATCCACTCAAACAAAATCATAAAGGTTGGCTTGAGTAATGGGAATTATGCTGGAAATGCAAGTTCAACTCCTTCATTGCCATTTGGGTACAAACAATTAATTCCAATGGTCTATACTCGCCACCCTTGGGTGGGGATTTCCCTGGTTTTAGCATTTACCAGACTAGTCCAACTAAAGTTTCCGGTATTCCTGCTATAGAAGGACATAATATGATCTAAAGGATCCAAGTTTACTATAGTTACGTACCTCAGATTGGTTGACCATGTTGGCATTGACAGCATTGGCCCTAGCATTTGCATACTGCCACTGTATCAGTCGATTATGCATCAGTCTTAACCGATGAACACTCTCCACATCTCCAGAACCCCCAAGTAAAGATGATGATTTCTTAACCTTAAACAAATTTAGCAATTTCTCCATACCCTTCGACCTGGAAGGACTACTGGGTGGTTTCAAACTCGAAAATGTGATCGGCACAGTCTTGCTTTCCACTGACATAGGCGGCGACCCTGATCGTCCTGGGGATAAGGCCCACTGTGATGTAGCACTGCCGTACCCGGCAAGCGAATTGGCCCTCTTCATGGCATTTTTCATCGTAAATTTCTTAGCCTTTGGTGAATAATCTGCTGATACGGGGCTGATTATGTTTGAATTGGAAGTCCCCCTTCTATACCTGGTCGGCTGCAGGTATTTCGACGAAACCTCCATACCCGATTTTTTAGAAACTGGAGAGGGGTTTTTCGCCGCCGTGGAACACATTTCACTACTGATCTCGGATTCTGAATCAAGATTGAGAATAAAAGGCTCCGATCTCGGTACTGATGATTTTTTATAAAGTTCGTTCTCGTCAACAGAGTATCGACCGGGTAAAATAGTGGAACTCTGTACAGTGGAATTCGATGAAGACGAAGACGATGTCGGCGACGGTGACGATTTCCGCGGAAACCCTAACCTTCCCGTATACCTCATTGAGCCTCCAATCAGAGACGGCCGATGATTTTCTTTGGCGATTTCCTTCTCGCTTTCAAACTTATTGAACCGATCAGAACAGCTCCGCTGCCGACTGAGCGAAGAAACCCCATGATTCTCCGATTTATCTCGGGTTCTCCGCTCAAGCAAATCGTTTAACCTCTCGTTACCCAGATGATCCGCCAGAGTTTCCTGTTTCGTACTCAATGAAGATGATGGCCAGAGACCTCCAACACTTAATCCGGCATCCTCAAGGCTCCAGTGCTTCCGGGTATCAACGGAGGTTGATTTCCGACGGGAAGGCGAGTAAAATTTGTTCGGAGACAGGGTTCCCATATCAGGGGCTATGGTACTCGGAGAGAGGAACCGAGAGCTCACTTCCCGGGACTTGGGTTTTCTGGGTCTGAGAGATTGATCAGAAACCATGGCTTCAGCTTCATTCTTCATTGATTTTGCTTCTGATTCTGTAAAGAGAAAGTAGAGGATTTGAGCAATGTTTGTTATGAGAAAGGGATATGAAGAAAAACAAACATTTGAAAATGGCGGCAATCACACTGTTGCCGGCGAGGATCTTGGGGACCGGAGGTGTATGGTTTAGCACATGAAATTACTGATTTAGTGTTGGAAGACAGTGATTTAAACGATTATTTCAAGGGTAGTCTCGGGAAGAAGCTTTTAACAACGGGCAGAAAGAAGAGGCAAGGATAAAGTGGTAATTGTGTTTTATTCGGAGCCGGCGCTTGAATTTTGCTAGGGAGAAACAGAAAGTCGACACTTGGCAGCAGTGAATTTTAAAAGCTAAAATGCAATGATTACATTGTACTTGTAAGTTTTCTTTTATAAAAAAAACAACATAATACTTGTAAGTTGTTAATATAATATATTATTATATAATTTAATTTTTTTAAATTTATTTATAATATTTTATATATTAATTAATTTAATATATTAATGTTCATTAGTGTGGAGTTGTAAAAAAAATAAAAAAATAAAATCTTAACTTATATTTAAAAATTAAAATTTTAATCTAAATATAAATATTTAATAAGATAAATTTTTAAATTTTAAATTAAATTCTAATTAAATAAAACTATGTAATTTAATATTAAAATTTTAATTTATTTTTAAGAATAAAAACTTATATATATTTTTTCATTTAATATTACATTATAATTATAAATTTATAATTTTATGTAATATTATAATTATAATATTATCATTTTAATTTTTTTAAATACACCTAACTTAAAGATGTGCACATCTTATAGGTAAAGTTTAATTTAGATTTATATTTAAATTATAAGGAAAATAATTTTTGAACAACTTTTTTATGTTATTTTTTGGTATAATCTTATATATTATTTAAATGATTAATTTTTTTAATTTATGTAAAACTCATAATATTAAATTCATCCACTCATTTAATAACATGTACATATTATATCAAAAAATAATATAAAAATATTATCCTTATAACACCTCAAATAATAAATGGTAAATAAAAAAAAAATGGCATTTCCGTTAAAAACAAAAAGGAAAAATTACGCCGTTGCCGGGGATCGAACCCGGGTCACCCGCGTGACAGGCGGGAATACTCACCACTATACTACAACGACTTTGGTGCTAGTTCGTCTCAGGTAGTTTTATTTTATTGTTACCCATTAGTGCTTCAGATATTCCAGCGACGGCCACAACATAGATTAGCAAGAACAAGGATTCCGGATGCATAAACAAACAACAGAGAATGAATTTAGTTGTATACATAAATAGCATAAGTTGACGGTTTGAACTTTTAGGTTTTTATAACGAAAAAAATAATAGTGTTTTTTTAATGAGCAGACTGCAGTCTATGATACAAGAAGCTAGGTGGAACCAATTGATACCATGTTACGATGACCAGCCATGCTTGATCTCACAAAAATTGTACAAGCATTCTTGAGAGCAGAATAGTCCTGGAGGCACGAAAGTTGTGACGGATTCTTCACTTCCATGGCAAAGACATTAATGAAAATTGCATTGTTGCATTAAAGGGTGGCTGTAATCAACATACTTCTCCCAAAGGGGCTTGTATTTCTCCATCCCGATCTTCAACCACGGCTTTGAGTTTCCATTGAAGTGCAGAACAGCTCCTCTCTCTATCAATTGAGGGTCAACATTTGTATAGCCCAACCCCAATACATGCCAGGAGGGATCCAATGGCTCTGTTAATCCGTAGAATGTTAACAGTCCTGGAGGTAGTGTCCCAAGTTTCCAGAGTGTTCGATCTACATTCTTTTCTTGCCAGTAATGATAGATGCCAGTAACGTTCCTCCTCCTCCATGCAACCAAATCAAAAACATTCATTCCAAAAGCCCAACCACATGCATCAGGATCAAAATGAGCTCTTATGAGAGGGTGAGAGTAGTTCAGGTACTTATGGTATCTGTGAAATGTCTCCATGCATGTCTCAACTGCTCCATTAACATTACCATTCAAATCTATAGAAAATAGACTAGAGAGATCCTTCTGAACCACAACATCATCATCAAGAAATACCACCTTCTTCAGTGCAGGAAAAACTTCAGGAATATAAAACCTTAAATGATTAAGCATTGACAGGTACTTGGGGTTTCGGAACTTGATTGGAGTCTTCCCATCATCATTATGTCCAGAAAAATAGTAACTCTGAGTCTCAGAATCCTGGAGCTGCTTAAGAACTGGAACATAAGAAGCATTTAGCCATTTGAAGTCCTCAAACTTCCGAACCTCAACAGTCACTCCACGAAAACTGTTCATGGAAAACCAGGCCTTCATAGCACTGTAGTTTATTTCATCTGTAACAAGATGAAAGACCACCTTATCTGGATCTTTAGAATTTAAAGCAGTTGAATTAACCACCACCGACGTTGCAAGGATGTTGTCTGAGAAGACACAGAAATGATAGAGACTGTTATCTTTAAGCTTTGCTTCTATTTGCTTTCTCTCCCTGAGTTTCCTTTGTAAATTTGGATTTCCAAACCATTCAGTGGTTAACCGAACACCAAGACAGTACAGACTTTTTGGCACTTCCTCAGCAGCTATTTGTCCATACTTCGAACTTTTCTCATTCACGGAACTCATTTGTTCTTCAAGAGCTTGGATTTTGGCTTTCAGTCTCATGATCATCGTTGCACTATCGTAATGGAGCTGCTGAGCTTGGTAGAGCAAAAGTGCCATATCATGAATGGCAGTCTCTGATTCTCTGGTTGTCAAAGGAGTTCGCCTTGTTGCAGCATTTGACAGGAGGGCCTGTGAATTACGGATCTGGGCACTTAGTTCCCAGGCAAATTGCAGATTGTTGCTTTCTTTCGCAATCACAACAAAAGCTTTGGCAAGAGAGATTTGATCACTAAGTTGCCTGGTTACTGAGTTCGGGTTTAACATTTCATCAGTGACATTTAAGCCTTCCATTATTCTGTCATGTCGATAAGATCTCTACAAAGAAGGAATAGAAGTACAAATTTCAAAAATTTTCTCATAGATAAAAATTAGTAAATATGAAAGCAAAAGGAAAAAGGGTTTTCCTATTTTATTTAGCAATGTCCATTGGCAAGCTACTACAAGTGTGACCAGAAACAGTAGTTTCATGGCAACATCACCTGGATCACATTTCATTCAGATGTAAGATTTAATAACTACAACAACTTTAACATTGAGGAATAACTACTTTTTCTTTTTGCTTCCTAATTTCACCTCTTAATTAAAGCAACTATAGAAACAGGAAGATTTTGACACAATTATCCCACTTTAGAATTTGTATTACAATGTCTTTTCCAGAAACCATAGCAACACTTCATGATTTTATCCAAGCAACAATTATCTAGCTTCGTAGATTGACTTACAGGCAGAGAGGCAGTTGGTTTCATGCTAACAGAAACATAAATCTCTCTTCATTTCAGAACATAGATGGTAGCTTTGCATGTCCTTTAAACAAATGGCATAAAGTTTATGAGGATTCCTGAGTAGATGTACTAATAGACTCAAAATCCTCAAATACATATGAGAATTAGATGATAATGATATGATGACTCAAAGACGTTCTTTACATCATTCAGCTCCTGCTTATATTGTATACTTGGGAATCCATAATCTTAGTAGTCCAACCTAACGGTTTTCAAAGCGAATAAGGAGATATTATCTTCTAAAACTTAAGCATATTAGGCATACCCCATGTAATGTGTCCCCTTGTGCTTCTTAGGAACAGATTGAATGAAAATTCAAAACAAATCCATGCAAATTTTAATGTTTACATATTGCAGATGATGATAGCATATCATAATCAACATAACTTAGGTTCACCTTTAAAAGCCCTTCAACTGAAATGCAGATCAAGAAACAACCAACTGAGATGCTCATTAAAAAAAAAAAAAACAGAGCTATATTTTTACAAAAACAACTGATTTATGCATTTTTAAGAGCAGAAAACATATTCCTCAGAATTTTAACTTCAGTGTGCAATTAACATGTCCAGTCTTAACCACCATCCTCTCCAGTTAGCTTCTGTAAATTAGACCCTCGCTCTTCTAAAAGTATAAGACATCTAAGAAGAGCTCAAGAATTGTAGCTTTGCATCACAGATAAAAATCTAAAAATCTCAATTCTTAATGACAAACATACTTTAATCAAAGGAATATCATCCCGATCTCATGATTATCTTCTTGATAAAACATGGCACAAAATATTGACATTGCAGCAGAATCACAAGCTACAATGATAAACATTTCTGATAGCCATCCTTTCTCAGGAGGATCATTTGTACACCTGACAGTTATAACAGCTAGTTCTTATATACTATATCTCCTTGTCCTGTGTACAAATAGAAAGATGCCCAAAACACTAATGCATGCCAGGGCCTAGGTACATGCCTCCTGCTGCCCCAAAAACACACCATGCCAAAAGGAAATGAACCCCAACCACCACTATAACGTACCACTATTTGCTTGCTTAACTCTTTAAAATAGAAATAAGCCATATAGCAATTTTTTTAATAAATTCTTGAAGAATCATTAATATTAATCTCTCTTCTAAACTCCATCTGCAGTCGCAAACTTAAGATTATTAAACCTACCATCCTGTCATAAGCAAAAAAAAAAACGGAAATCCTAAAGCATTTGAATACTTGCTAGAAGTTCATTTGTTCAATATGTGCTTGATACACACATGCAGCCCATGCCATTACAAAACTACAATGAGTTGTTAGTTTTGAATCTGTGGAACAACTACATACATGATTCTCAACTCAATCATTCTCCATGTTACAATACTACTCCCCTATATCTGTCACGTCCTGTTTCACAAAAATGTATGATAACGATAACACTGGACAGAAATCAGGGCATCTATCCTGGATGAACATGATATCTACATTGATTTCCATAGGAAGACAACATTTGACACACAGAACTACAATTAATCCTCAAGTACAAGTCCCAACAAGATACTACTAAAATCTTAAAATTTCTAAATTTCCTAAAGGCACATGTCTCAAGATCCCAAGACAAACCACATCACGCACAATAACAAAACAAACTCCCAATTTTTCATTTCTCATCCGCAATGCAAAGTAGACATAAAAGCTCCACCGTCCATCTCATTGCCAATGAAACCAAGGAAACATTTATATATAATAAAAAGTCGACTTTACTAGAAATTTCAAGAACCCCAGACAGCATTCCGCTTAAATGAATCCCTAAACTAAGAAAACGGAGCGCCAATTCTCAATGTCAATCAGAAATAAATTTCCAAAATTAATCAAGAACAGATCTTTACCTTAACCGGTCCCGATTCAATTTGGCTCTCCTTGCTGAAAATCAGAATAAAAACCAAAAACACAACCATGCATAGAGTCCACCAAACTACATTTGGGAACCTCCTCCTCACTGGCCTCCTAAAGTCAGCTCCCCTCCGCCTCATTTCTGCAAATTCTGCAGCTCCGCTCGCGTTTCAGGTGGAAATTCTTCCCCAAGAAAACGCCAAATTCCAATCAAAATTCTGGGTTCGATCCCTCTCGCCGTTTTTCTTCCGGATCTAAATAGGGTTTAGAGATCGGAAGTTGAATTTTGACTGAATTTTTAGGTATTGAAGAGGAGTGGAAGCAGAGCGTTTACTAATGAACAATTAAAATCATGCTATGTAAAAATAAATGAGGGCGATTGAACTTGGGCTTTCGGTTGGTCGTTTTCAAACAAGTAATTTAGGCGACGGCAAAAACTGTTGCCCCAGTTGGAAATGCACCTAGCAGTGGCTGTGATCTTGAATGAGATGTGATTGATGATCGGAAATGTTACAAGTACAAAGTTGCGTTGTGTCACGTGCAATTTTTCAGTTAGTTTTTTTTTTTAATATATTGTAATTATTTAAAAAAAAATCAGAAAACGAGAAATAAATTTTTGTGAGATTCAAATATATAATTCATATAAAGTGAACAGTTTAATTTATAAATCAATCAACTTAATTTATAATTTAATGTCACTAAATTAAAGCGGGTGTTCACAATTTTTCAATTAATTTTTTTAATATATTATAATTATTTACAGAGAAATTAAAAAACAAAAAATAAGTTTTTGTGAAATTCAAACATATAACTTACATGAAGTGAACAATTTAATTTATAATTTAATCAACTTAATTTATGATTTAATGTCATTAGATCGAAGCGGGTGTTCACAATTTTTCAATTAGTTAAAATTTTAAAGCTTAAAATTTAATATTTTAACTTTAATGTGGATAAATAAATTTACAAGATAAAAAATGAAAAAAGAGTGATCCTAATTCTTTATTACATGATTAATATGATGTACCAATGTAGATTTTGTTGGTGATTGTAAATTTCTCTTACGAAATGATAGAAGATTTGGTTTTTTCTTTAAATTTGATTTTGTAGTTGGACAAAATTTGGTTAAAATGTATGGAATTTATTTATAGAAATTAATATCTAAAATTCACAGTTTCAATTTAATTCTTTTGGTATATATTAGATGATGATGAGTCATGGAATAGCAATGGTATTACTTTTTTTTTTTTTTTTCAAATCCTTCCTCAATAGAATGAATATTTGAATCAATATCTTTCATTTAAAACTTCAATCTTTTAGTTTTTTTTTTTTTTTTTTGCATAAAGTTGGTGAATCAAAGTTATAAAAAAAAAAGATGGAGACGGGAAACAAGAATTTGAATTCTTGCCACGAAAATATGATAACGTTTTTTGCTGGATTCACGGTTAACATTGGACATGCTTCTATCTTCATAGTAGAGCTTTGGGGTATGAGAAAAGGACTTCGCTTTGGGATTATCAGAGCGGTCGCTGAGATGGATTCTCTCATTGCTGTTCGCTTTGTGAATGAAGAAAGAGAACCAGATAATTTAGCTGCTTCTCTTCTGTCTGATATCAGGAACTTGATTACTGAATTGGAATCTTGCATACTGCAGCACACCTTGCGGGAGGGAAATGCTGTGGTGGATTTTCTAGCTGCTCTCGGACACTCTTCACCTCCAGGTTTATGTATCTTGGACTCACCGCCAAATGGGCTTCGATCCATCCTTTTAGGGGATAAGATGGGGGTTACTTTCCTCCGGACCTGGTCATTTTGTTTCTTTAGTGTTTTAGTCCTGCTGTACCAAAACACAATGGCACTTCAACTATCAAATGCTCCACTCAATCTTATAGTATAGTTAAGGAGCTTTATGAGATCTAATTGCAAGTTAATAATGTAATCATACAAACTCAACTCTAAAAGGGAGTAAACGAGTTAAACCTTTAAGATTGTCTCAATTATAAGTAGTTGATACTTCAAAGCAAAAGGCCTAGGAGTCAAAGAAATTTGAAAATTATGTGTACTACTCTTGTAATATCATAGTACTCACATGTAAATGAATTAAATTACTGAAATGTTAAAATTTAAATTATGACATTTTTGCTTTATTAATAAAAATATTATGAATGATATATCTCTTATGTAGTGCTTATATTATTTTTAATCACTAATAAAGGGTTGAATCTTTCATATCAAAGTTGGGTTCACCATATCAAAAGATTTATTTTTTTATCAATATTTAAGTAAAATATAATTTATTTTACGTAAACTGCATACACTATACTTTTTTGTTAAAAAAATATTATAATCTTTTGGTATTGTGTGTTTCTTGTACAAAGATTTCTATTCTTTTATGGGAGGTCTCGTCCAGATCTCATCCTTCTGTTGCTAAATGCAAGTGCTATTGCCTTGTGACTAGTGGGAAATTGATATGATCTGCTATTGTTGTCGCTCAATTTAGTTTCATCCTTTTTGTCATGCAAGTCATTGGGCTCCCAGGTTGCTAAGCCTTTTTGGTGGTTTTTGCTTTCCTAGTTGTGAGTTTGCTGTGAATGGACAGGGACCGAGCTTGAAATTAATGTTAGGGGGCCCAACTACTATTTGGATTTATGTATATAGAAAATGAATTTTATAAAAATTATGACTTTAAATAAGATTAAAAATCATTTAAACCGCACCGAGCCCTTCGGGTTAAGTGGCTTGAAGTGCACTTCCCCCACTCCTGACCTGGATTCGACCCAGGCCCTTGTATAAACTGTTTAAAAAAAAAATCATTCAAACCAAAATTACGTGTCATATCTCACTAAGGAGGAAGGCGGCAAAATCTCAGTGATAAATGAGATTTAGTCTCCTGAGACAAATTTTGGCTTTAGTTGGCCATACCCGACATTTCTACCTTCTCCC